AAGAAACAAAAACTCGGAGCCAGATATAGGGGTAAAAACCTGAGAGATCAGGGAAATAGGGAAAGCTCACCAACTCTACAGCTTCCAAAGGCAAGCTACTTCCTATCTACCTACACCTATGCCTTTCTGTTCTGTTCTCTCATTTGCTCTCTCAGCCCAGCTATATCAATTCCTCTTCCTACCCAGCTCTGTCACTTCTTATCTGTCTGTACAGACCTCCAGACCTCTATGGTTGGTGCTGGGATTAATGGCATGTGTCACCATACCTGGCTCTGTTCCCCAGTGTGGCCTTGAACTGAGAGATCCAGACAGATCCCTGCCTGCCAAGTGATAGGACTTAAGGCATGTGCTACTATTGCCTGACTTCTATATAGTGGCTGGCTTTTTCCTCTGATCTCCAGGCAAATTTTATTAGGAAACACAGTATAGCGGGGAACACAATTCATCACCACATTCCTTCTGGGGTCTTTGATGTAGCTGAAGACTAGATAGTTACAATTTTGTTTAGTTATGATAAAAGATAAATTAGATATGAAACTTTAGACACATAAATATAAGATAGAATATTTTCTTTAATTTTACCAAATAAAAATCAACTAGATATTGTAACTGTAATTCTTGCTTGATAACTATTCTATTATATGTAATTTTACTATGTTAAAGTTAAAACCTTCCTTTTTGTTTAGACAGAAAAGGGGAAATGCTGTGGGATAATGTTTTTGTACACAGGTTTAATAAAACACAGATTGGCCAGTAGCCAGGCAGGAAGTATAGGAGGGGAGAGCAGACTAAAGGAATGCTGGGAAGAGGAAGGCTGATTCAGGAGTCACTAGCCAGACACAGAGGAAGCAAGATAACAAAGCAGAACTGAGAAAAGGTACCAAGCCACATGGCTAAACTTAGATAAGAATTATGGGTTAATTTAAGTGTAAGAGCTAGTCAGTGATAAGCCTGATCTAATGGCCAAGCAGTTATAATCAATATAAGCTTCTGAGTGATTATTTTATAAGCGGCTGCAGGACTGCAGGGCTAGGCAGGACCAGAGAAACATTCCAACTACAGGAACTGATCTACCTCAAAATTGAGTTATAACACTTTTGGGAATATACCCAAAGGTCCTATCACAAGGATACTTGCTCAACCATGTTCTCTGCTGTTTGATTCATAACAGCCGGAAATTGGAAATAACCTATATGTCCCTCAACAGAAGAGTACATACATAAAGAAAATGTGGTACATTTACACAATGAAGTATTACATTGCCATTAAAAAATGGAATCATGAAATTTGCAGGTAAATGAATGGAACTAGAAAAAATCATTCTGAATGAGGTAACGAAAACCCGGAAGGACAAATACAGTTATGTATTCACTGATATGTGAATATTAGCTGTTGTCAATGGTAACCAAGCTACAATCCATAAAATCACAGAGATGAGGTATAGAATAAGGGACAAAAGGGGAATAGACATATCTCTCCAGGAAAGGGAAATAGAATAGATAGTTATAGATGGAGGTTTAGCTGGAACAGGACAATCAAGTGCAGAGAAGGAAGAGAGAGGCAGATGATGGAGGAAATATGGAGAGAGACAGCTAAATTTAAGAGCCATTTGAAGTTTCTACAGTAGAAACTTCCTAAAATATATACATATAAGAAGGTGATCTTGGCCGGGCGGTAGTGGCGCACGCCTTTAATCCCAGCACTCGGGAGGCAGAGCCAGGTGGATCTCTGTGAGTTCGAGGCCAGCGTGGGCTACCAAGTGAGTTCCAGGAAAGGCGCAAAGCTACACAGAGAAACCCTGTCCCGAAAAATCAAAAAAAAAAAAAAAAAAAAGAAGGTGATCTAAATAAAATTGCCAAATAATGGAAGAGACAGAGCCCCAAACAGACATCTCTTGTCATCAATTGAAACTTTCAGTTCCAGGATTGGGTTACATCTAGTTGAGCTGTTGGTTACCATGGGAACCCCAAACAACCCAGATGTCATCATCTCCACAGACTGACAGTAAAAACCCACTGCTGAAGACAACACCTACACAACTCATTGAACATGGAGAAATCGAAATGGTGCCTACATGACCTTTACCCCTAATGCTGTTGTCTTCTATGCAGGAAGGTACTCTGCATGCTACTAAAAGATAAATGTAAATACCAACCCAGGAACAAACCCTTTATACTATAATGGTATCATGGTTGCAAGACATGCAAGGGCAATGGTGGTACAAAGCTTATAGAAATAACCAAACAATATCCGATTTGACTTAAGGCCCATTCCAGGAGATAGAAGCTACACCTGACCCTGCTTGGGTGACCAAGAACCTGAGACTCAATAGCCCAGGGACCAAGGGTAAAACCAAATACTAATAGTCTTAAAAGAAAAAAAAAATGTATCAATAAAATGAATCATAATGACATTCTACTATACTTACAATTCAGTGCCTTGCTGAGCCATAGCCATAATCAGAGAAGCTTCCTCTTGAAGCAGATGGAAACAAATACAGAGAACCACAGCCAGATATTATGCAGAGAGTGAAAGATCTTGGAACACCCAGCCCTAAATGGGATGCGTCTATCAAGTCCCTCCCCTCAGGGCTCAGGGAACCCAAAGGAAAGGAAGTGGGAAGAGTATTCTTTACCTATATATTATGGTTTCCAATTTACTGATTTTATGAATTCCTGCATGTGCGAATAGTGGGTCTCTGTTTCTTGTGCGTTCTCTTAGGCTCTTTTCCTTGTGTTTGTTTGTTTTTCACAATCCTAAACTGTTAGTTTTTATTTTAACTAATTTTATTTTATTATTATCCCATAGAAGCCTGTTTGTTTTCTAATGAGAGACAGAAAGCGGATAGATCCAAATGGAAGTTGAAGTGGAGAGGAGCTGGGAGCAGAGGGAGGAAAAACCACAATCAGGATATATTATATAAGAAAAAAAAAAATCTATTTTCAGTAAAAGGAAAACCATGTAAAAAAAATAATAAAACCAGCTAGTACATATGTGTGCATGTAGGTGCATGTTTAATGGGTATAATGTGCATGTAATTGTAGCTTCCAATTAATTGCAATTACATAAACCAAAGTGTTAAGTATAATAATTTTGATGCATACTATGTAATGTTTCTATGATATATTTATGCATTTGTGGAAGAATGTTATTTGTAGCTACATAGTTATTTACCAACCATGGTTGATGATCTATGTAATAACTTAGCCCCAGTATGACAATTTTTCAAGAAGAAAAGTGTGATAAAAGAAAGGAAGCATTAGATGAGTGCACCAGCATGTGCCCTAAGGGTGTATGAAGCCAGCAATCACTGCAATCTCACATTGCATCTAAGTATTCACTCTTCAGACCATAAGGTCCCTGCATTTTTTCAAACACAGGAGATTCAACTACAGAAAACACAAATGAATTAAACTGATTACCTGTTGCAAACTGGTGGTTGCAAGGTACCCTCACAACTTTGTGAATAAACTAGATAACAACGAATTGTACTTTTTAAAGGGATGAATTTATGGGAGTCATATTTCAAGTTTAAAAAAAAAAACAAGCCACTGAGGGAAAACTTATGAAAAAGCTACTTTCTGAGTCAGCAAGATAGTTTAACAGGTAAAAATGCTTGCTGCCAAGCCAGATGACCTAAGTTCAATCACTAGGACCCACAGGTGGAAAGAGTACTGACCCTCATAAGTTGTTCTTACTCTCCACACTGAGATGGCTCAAAGATTAAGAACACTGGCTGCTCTTCCAGAGGACTCAGGTTCAATTCTCAGCACCCACATGGTGGCAAATAACTATCTGTAAATCCAGTCCCAGGGGATCTGACACCCTCTTCTGGCCTCTGCAGGCACTGTACGCTTGTGATAGACTTACATGTAGACAAAACACCCATATACATAAAAATAAATAAATCTTTAAAAATAAATATACAAACACAATTTTTAAAACTACTTTCAGAGACACAGCTCCTACCAATCTTTGGGATTGGGAGTCTCTGACAATATTGACTGCAAAATGGACAGCATCTAGATTCACTATAGAGACAAACCTCTGGGCATGTCTGTGACAGAGTTTTTAGGCTGAATTAATTTAGGTATGAAGTCTGTCCTCCTAAATATGAGCAGCAGCCATCTCATGGACTAGGGTCCAGACTGAATGAAAAGGAGAAAGTGAGCTGAGCACAGTATATATTTCTCTCTTCTTCTGACTGTCATGCTTGCCTGGCTATGACAGACTATACCCTGAACCATCAGCGAAATCAATAAAATTAACCTTCCTTAAGTGGCTTGCATCAGATACTTGTCACAGCCATGGTGAAGGAATAAATAATTGGTCTCCTAAGCTCAGATGTTGCAGCTCAAGTATAGTGCTCCTCTGTGTCAGTACATGCGTTTTCATGGGCAGTGACTTATATCTAAAGTTCCTGGCCCTGGACCTCCAAGCACTTTTCTGGTCAACTTCTTTCATAACACTGAACATGTGGTGAATAATTTCCCTAGCAACACTGAATGATTTCATTCACTTTTTCATTACCCAATCACCACAAGGAACCTTGAGGATGTAGATTGCAACTACTTACCTTTCCCATTGCTGAAGCCTGCATATAACTCATATCAGCTATTTTACAAACATCTAAATGAACTCAGAGGCAGCTCACACACTAATGAGCACTGCAGAACTGGCTTTGTGTCCTAGGATAAGCCAGGCATGACTAAGAAGAAAACAGACTAACGAGGACCCTAGAAACCACACCCACTGTTTCCCACTGTTCCTTCAATGAACAGTGGCTTGGGACATCGAGATTTTAGAAACAGATCCTCTGGTGTGGTGGCACACACCAACAGTAGCAACTATGTAGGAAGCTGAGGCTGGAGGATTGCAAGTTTTAGCTCAGCCTAGGCAATACAGTAAGAGCTCAGTGTATTTTAAAAAAAATTTTTTTTCCTTTTAATCTGAGTATTTATATAAATACCTGAATTAAAGGCATGAAGAAAAAGCCTTACGAGAATTTTAGGAGTGGGTCCAGGCCTCGTCCAGGGAATTCATTGAGAATCTCCATGGCTGTTACACAGCCAACAGTTGGGATCCCTTCAGTATAATCACTGCCCAGTAGATAGGCCAAGTTGATTAATTTGTTTCGGTCCAATCCTGTATGAATAGCAACAATTAGATTTAATATCTTTATAAAAGTTATATAACATAAGTATTTTTATTATATAAACTGTGTATGATAAACCAACATCCAAAGAGACATGTTTCATTTAAAAATAGGTTCTTTTGTTAAGTATCATTATATTGAGATTTTAAGTTTTAACCATTCCTTTTTTCCCCCCAGTTTTTTGAGACAGAGTTTCTCTGTAGCTCTGGAGTCTGTCCTGGAACTCACTTTGTAGACCAGGCTAGTCTTGAACTCACAGAGATCTGCCTGTCTCTGCCTCCTAAGTGCTAAGATTAAAGGCGTGCGCCACCACCGCCAGGCTTCATTCTCATTTTAAATTCCCTATACATGCTGACCTCTACATTTAGCTATCTAATATGCTCCTTCTGATCACAGGCACATGCATTCCCTTACCAACTGTCTGTAGATCTAATGAGACTCTCAGACTGAACTTATCCCAACTCAATTCTCTCTTCCTCTGCTGCGTTCTACCACTCGCCCAGAAACGGGAAGCTAGAAGCCCTCCTCCCATATCCTACATCCAGGACACGAGCACTGTTTTCTCTGGTGTACCAGACACTATGAGGCTTCAGTTTTATCTCTCCAGTGTAACTACTGATATTACCCTCCTCCCCCATTGTCACTGGCCTCTTTATTTCTCTAGAACATGTCCATAAGCAATCTTCTGCCTTGAGGCCTTGAAAATCTTTAAATCCCTCTGACATGATCTTTGTTGAGTATTTATTTATAGCTTTGCTTACTATTTCCTTAGGGAGTCTGCCCTATGCTGCCACAAACAAAGCCTTCCCTGAGGACACCTCTGTGAGGAACATCATGTGCTCTCCTACAAGCTGGTCCTCATTCTTGTTCTGCTTGTTTTTCCCCCCATGGTGCACACCAAGTATTACATTATAGCTTGTAAACACAGCCAGCATCTTTTCCTTCCACTAGATTGTTTCATTCTCTGCTATTTTCCCACTGTCAAGAATGACTGGCATATGAGAGTCACTCAGTGTGCACTTCCCAGCTGAATGGATGGATGACTGTGTGGTCAAAATCAGGAACACCAATGGCTCCATTCCCTACCCTATGAGAGCATCTCTGGTTCACTGTAAGGTAACTCAACTAACCTTGTAGATGACTTAACTGCAAGAAAAACACTAGGGTTTTATCTTCTTAAATCCAAGTTTTAAAATCCTATGACCTCCCATTTCCATTCATGCATCAAATTAGATCCTTCAGAAGAAAAACCACGAGGCAAATCAGGAGGGTGAACTGTGGGAAGTGACCACAATCTGAATCTTACCTAATTGGTTGTGAAAGTCCACATATTGGTAGTACTCTACAAACTTGTTTTTGTTAAAAAAATTCTTATAGACATGCCGGGCCCCAAACAGCCAGATATCACTATCATCAGTGATGGTCCCAGATGTCTGATCAGTGAGGTCCAGGATGGCACACTGCGCCTCTGCCTCCATGGGAGCCTGGATATAGGGAATGCCAAACAGGCGCAGGAGTTCCTGTAGTTAAGAGAAACCACCCGCAAGGAAATGCACTGATGACCTTGACCACAAGGGGTGTGACAATATCATACAGCCCTTCTTACAGGAAGGACAATTCTACAGAAGCCCAAGCTAAAGTCACACTCACCTGACTTTCCAGAAACATCTGGCCCGTTACAGAGACAGCGATCCGTTCTTGCTGCTGTTTTTGAGCTTCCAGTGAATTCTGTTCTGCTAAGAGGTTACTCTCTAGGATGTCTAATTCCTCCTATAAAACATGTTCCCATTCACAGATCATTACAGTCTTAATCCACTTATGTTCATTTGTTACAAAAAAATAAAAATATAAAGCCTGCATTTCTTCTGGTTGAAATGACCAATAAGTTGTTTCTCCTTACAGTGTTTTCCTATTGAGATTTCCAGGCAAGACTGTCTCTTTCAGTCACTTGATTACATCATATGAGAAACCTATCTACCCTAGATGTAACTTACATTTCACAAGGGAACCATGAGTAACAAGAAGATGAATTAAAAACAGCTAATTAATATTTATCCAGCAATTCTTAAAATCTCAAAGCCACAGGATTGGCTTCCTCGGCACTAAGTTAAAACATTGTATTATTACCAAATCAACATCTTGCCATTCATTAGATGAGTCCTCAGCATATTCGTCAGTTTTTTTGTGCTCTTCCTTGACCAAGTCCTCACTGTCAGAGCTGTCCTGTAGGAGGTGTTCTGTGTCCCTGGGGATTCCTTCCTCCAGAGTTCCTCTTGGTTCCTCTTCATCTTGTTCAGAGGGAGGTTTAAAAGGCTCTGATGACTCTGCTTGAAGTTCATCATCACTGACCACACTCTGTACCTCAATGAAACTTCCTGTCCAAAATATAATGATGTCACTTCATCTGCATTGAAAACATTAGAAGCACTCTGAAGTCATCAAAACTTTCTGAACAGTCCTGAAAAATGTCAGACTCCAAAGGAAAGGATTTGACTATAACCTCAAACATGCAATTAACTTGTTATTCTTTTTTTTTTTTTAAGATTTATTTTTTTTGTACACAGTGTTCTGTCTGCATGTATCCCTGCCCACCAGAAGAGGGCACCAGATCTTATTATAGATGGTTGTGAACCACCATGTGGTTGCTGGAAATGGAACTCAGGACCTCTAGAAGAGCAGCCAGTACTCTTAACCTCTGAGCCATCTCTCTAGCCCCTAACTTGTTATTCTTAAACACACTACATTATAAATGCCCACCTAGCACTTCCAAACAAGCCTTTCAATTAGACAAACTGAACTACTAGGCTTTTGGTCACTGAAAGTGGGAACCAAATTCTCAAAGATTTGCCTACTAGCTTTTTAAAATTATGTCCTGTCAATTAATCTTCTTTTTAAAACCCAGAAAGGAAGCCAGGGAAGCAGATAGGCACACAGAATGGGATAGAGGTAAAAGCCACATGGTAGAATGCAGATTAATAAAAATATGGGTTAAGTTATAAGAGTTAGTTGAAAACAAGTCCAATCTAAAAGCCAAGCTTTTATAATTAATAAGAAGTTTCAATGTCACTATTTGTGAGTTGGCAGCCCAAAGAAAAATCTTACTATAAAAATACTTGCAAACCAAATCCAAGAACACATCAAAAATACCATCTACCATAATCAGGTACATTTCATCCTAGAAATGCAGGAATTATTCAATACATGAACATCAGTAAATGTAGTCCCTCATATAAACAAACTTAAAAAATCATATGATCATCTCATTAGATGCAGAAAACACCTCTGACAAAATCCAACACCCCTTCATGATTAATAGTCTTGGAGAGATCAGGGATACAAGGAACATACCTAAACATAATAAAGGCAGTTTACAGCTTATCTATAGCCAACACCAAATTAATCAGAGAGAGAAACTCAAAGCAATTCTACTAAAATCAGGAACAAGACAGGGCTGTCCACTCTCTCCAGGCCTATTCAATATAGTACTTGAAGTCTTATCTAGTACAATAAGACAACTGAAGGAAATCAATAGGATACAAATTGGAGAGAACGAAGTCAAAGTATCTTTAGTTGCAGATGATACGATAGTATATATACATGACCATAAAAATTCCACCTGGTGTGGGAGCCTGTTTTTAGGTTCCTCGTGGCTTTACCCAGCAGGTCCGCATAGAGAGGATGAACAGGACCACGGGCCTGAGTGCAGGTGTCTGAGATGGTCTGCACTTGGCTGTGCTGGGGGAGGAGGTCATTTGCTCCACCCCTTGGTGTCTCTATAAATACCCTGGGGCAGAGACAGTCGGGCCGTTGGAAAAGGTTCCAGGCCCTCTCGAGGTTATCCTTTATTTTCTATCTGTTTATCTCCGCAATATAAATCTTTCTATCTAATATTTCCTGCTGTTCCCACTCAAGAAAACTCTGGGGAGCTGTGGGATTGGTGGGTAAATGCCCCACAACCTGGGAACTCCTACAGCTGATACACACTTTTCAGCAAAATGGCTGGATACAAGATTAACTTAAAAAAAAAGTAGCCCTCCTATATACAAATGACAAATAGACTGAGAAAGAAATCATGGAAACAACACCTTCTACAATAGCCTCAAATAATATAAAATATCTTGGGGTAACTCTAACCAAGCAAGTGAAAGACTTGTATGATAAAATGTCTTTGAAGAAAGAAATTGAAGATACAAGGAGATGCCATCCTATCAAAAGCAACCTACAGATTCAATGCAATCCTATTCAAAATTCCAACACAATTTTTCACAGATCTTGGATGGACAAACTTCAGCTTCTTATAGAAACACACACACACACACACACACACACACACACACACACACACACACACACAAAGCTAGTGTGGTGGAAGTGGCCCCCAAAGAGAGTAGCACTATTAGGAGGTATGGCCTTGTAGTTATGGTCTTGTGGGAGGAAGTATGTCACTGTGGAAGTGGTCTTGGAGGTCTCATATATGCTCAAGATACCACCCAGTGTCTTAGACCACTTCCTGTCACCTGTAAGATGTAGAACTCTCAGCTACTTCTCCAGCACCCTGTCTGCCTGCACACTACCATGTCTTACCATGATGATAATGGGCTGAACCTCTGACTATCCCAATTAAATGTTTTCCCTTATAACATTTGCCATGATCATGGTGTCTCTTCACAGCAATAGAAACCCTAACTAAGATACCCAGGAAACAAAAACTATTCTGAACAATAAAAGTACTGTGGGAGGTCTCACCATCCTGGATTTCAAGTACTACAGAGCTGTAGTAATAAAAACCACATGTTATAGGCATAAAAACAGACACATTGATCAATGGATACAATTGAAGACCCAGGCATAAATCTGCACTCCCATAGACACCTGATTTTTGATAAACAGCCAGAAATACATACTAGAAAAAAAAAAAGCACCTTCAACAAATGATTCTGGTCAAATTGGATGTCTACATGAAGAAGAATACAAATAGATTCATAGTAATCACCTAGCACAAAACTCAAGTCCAAATGGATCAAAGGCTTTAACATAAAACCAGATACACCGAACATGATAGAAAAAGTGGTGAATAGACTTGAACGCATTGGCACAAGAGTCAACTTTCTGAACAGAACACTCATAGTGCAGGCAGTAAGATCAATAATTAATAAATGTGACTGTCTTACTTAGGATTTCTATTGCTCTGATGAGACACCATGACCATAGCAACTCTTATAAAGAAAAACATTTAATTGGTGTGGCTTACAGTTCTGAGATTTAGTCCATTATCATCATGGCAGGAAATGGCAGTATGTAGACAGACATGGTACTGGAGAAGGAGCTGAAAGTCCTACATCTTGATCTGCAGGCAACAGGAAGCAAACCAAACGAGGTGTAACTTGAGCATAGGAGACCTCAAAGCCCACCCCACAATGATACACTTCCTCCAACAACTCCACACCTACTTCAACAAGGTGGACCTCTATATAGTGCCACTCCCTATGAGCTTATTGGGGCCAATCACATTCAAACTATCACATTCCACTCCTGGCCTCCATAAGCTTGCAACTATATCTGTCTTAGCTAAGATTTTTATTGCTGTGAAGAGACACTATGACCATGGCAACTCTTACAAAGGAAACATTTAATTGGGATGGCTCATTTACAGTGACCCCAGCACTCAGGTGGTAGAGGCAAGAGGGTCAGAAGTTCAAGACAAACCTCAGCTCCATAAAAAGTATAAGGCCAGCCTAGGTTATATGAATCTCAAATAAATAAACAAATAAATAACAGAAATCTGACCAGTAACAGGACACAAATTATGTGTAAACATATACACATGCAGTTATCTTCATTACTTGAAATGTGATTTATAAAGTCATTTCAAATACTAAATTAGCAAATACATGCTTCATACACACATATGTATATATGCACAAATGTGTATGTGTGTACGTACATTCTTTCATTATGTAAGAAATAAAGTTCAGAGTGTTATGTGACTTGCCTGAGGGTACCCTACTACCAGGGTGCCAGAATGGGGAGGCTCCCTAGCTGAAGATTCCTGCTCTAGACTCCACTATCCTGCCAATAGTCCCTGGTTATCTCTGTGGGCACACTGAAAACAGGCAGAACATCTCCCTGACAAATGCCTATAAAGAAACCAAAGTACCTTTGATTCTGGAATCAAATTTTAACAAGCAGATGACTGCACAAAAAAGCTATAAACAATGAGTATCATTGCATATGTATATACAGAAAGAGAGAGAGAGGAGAGGTGTACATGGAAAGAATGCATGGGAAAGAGAGAGAGAGGGAGACAAAAAGAGGAAGAGGTGAAAAGAGGTGGAGGAGAGGAAGAGGCAGAAGGGGCAGGGATAAAGAGAGACAGAGACAGAGACAGAGTCAGAGAATACAAAACAAATGAGACAAAATACTGGCCTCTAAGTTAAGTGTGAATCAGTCAGTACTCTATGACAGCTTTCCAATCTTGTCATTTTTGTATGTCAAAGTAAGAAGTTAACAAAAGTTAAAGGAAATTCATCTTTCTTTTCTCCAGGCACGGCACTCCCTTCCTTCAACGATACCAAGGACAGAGGCTGCCAAAATGGCTCAGCAGTTAACAACATTTGCTGCTCTTGCAGAGGCCCTGCATTAAGTTCCCAGTGCCCAGGGCAATGCAAAAACCATTTATAACTCCAGTTGCAGAAGATCTGCTGCCCCCTTCTGTATGGACACTGCATGCATATGTGCACAGACATGCAGACAAAACAAACACCCATACATATAAAATAAAATGAAATCTTAAAGATACCAAAAACAGTCCAGTAAAGCAGGGCATCCCCATCCTAGCTGTGTGATGCTAGGAAGCTCATTTCTCCTTTCTTCCTGGTTCCTCTGATGTAAACAGGGTTATACTACAGGTTCTCCTAGTCCCTATAGACATCAAGTCCTCCCATTCCATTCCCTTAAAGAAGTACCTACCATCAGATTCGCTTTCTCCAGACTCCATCCCGTTTGGTCCCATGGGCTTTGGGACTAAAATCAATTCCCTGGCAGTAGCTTCAGGCATCTCCCGTTGCTGGATGGTTTTCAGGGAATCTCCATGTTCATCAGCATTAGAAGACAATGCCTTTTCTAAGTTACCCATTGCCTCTGAAGGGATGTGAACTATGCTCCATGCTTTGGAAGCAGTATTTTGTATACTTTCTGTTTCATCATCACTTGAAAAATGAGAGGAAACACATTTACTCTCAGGTGGGTAGAGACCTTTCTGCAGCTTGTGCTCTTCAGGGTGTGTGTCTATCCTCTGATCGGAATGTGTTCTTATTGGAGGTTCCCTAAGGAGTCCGGAGGCATCACTGCACAGAAGTTGTTCTGTGCATGCTGGTGGAAGGGGAGCTTGCTTCCCCTCAACCTCATACTCACTGCTTATCTGAGATGCTTCATTCACCACATGAATAAGTGACATCTGTTCTTTTGGAGCATAACATTCACCAGCTTCATGACAAGCAGTATTCAATGAATGAGCCGAGGCTATCTGTTCTTTTTCACTACTGGAGCTGACCACATACTCCTTTACTACAGTCACAGTGGATAAAGGAGGAACTGTGGCAAATGGCATGCCTCCACCTCTTACTACAGCTCCATCACTGTGCTCCTGGTTTGGCCTATCTCCAACCTGTGTTCTCATTGCCACCTCATCACTCCTGGCACAAACTTCTCCATCTTTATCATCACCTAACACTCTCATCACTGCCCTTCCTGTGGGCTCATCATCCCCCTCACACACTTTCCTATCTTCATCATCATCCAGAGCTCTCTGAATAGCTGCAAGGGTCTGTGGTGATACAGAGCCTGCATCTGTAGTGGCCCACGAATCCCTCTCCCTCTCTGGCTCCTCTTCTGAGCTACTTCCCAGCATGGCTGCCTGCATAGCCAGTAAAGTTCTTGGAGAAGGAGGTGCGGCCTCTGGTTCTTTCTCTGGCTTCACTTTCTCATGGGGTGACGACTTCAGGTCAAAGGACATGCTATGTGTTTTGCTGGAAGAAGGAGAAGCCTCTGAATCCACATCCATGACTTTCTTAGTTTGAATACCTGAGAGAAATTAAAACATTTCTTACCATGCAATTCACAGTGTGACAACTATATTTCTGGGAAGATGAACAAGAGAATCTGAGATCATAAATATAGTGATACATTTTTATTAAATCCATCCACTAATTATAAAGTGGTTGGTTCTGTAGCAGCTAATCTATTAGTGACTAAATATAACTGTTACTACCTAACCAAAATTCTACTGGCTTTATCATAGATATCTTTTCCCAGAACTCAGAGCCACAAAGTACCCTAGGCTCTATTTTGTAATTTAAAATTTTATTTTGTCATACTACACAGTCAAAAGTAAAAAAAGTACTTTTATCTATCTCATAAAACATAATTCCATTTTAGATTATTTCATATTTGTTTCTATAGGAAAAAAAAGAAATTAAATCCTGGTGTTAGTGCTCACACATGTGAATTTAAATTTATAAAATGATCTTTCTCCCTATTATTTTAATTACTAGCAAATTCAAAAATAAATTTGAAACTAAGTTCTTTATCATAAAATCTGAAATGAAACAACTCCAATACTCCCTTAGGAAAAGCAACAATAAAGAAAATAGAAATATATTTGATAGTTGCTGAGTACTAATGGTGTGGAATAATGAGGCAGTATGAGATGCCTTCTGATTCAAACATGGCTTTATAGGTTGTGACTTTATTTTTATTTGTTTGTTTTAGTGTGTGTGTGTGTGTGTGTGTGTGTGTGTGTGTGTGTGTGTTTGTGTAAATGAATGCCCTATGTGTGTGGGTGCCTGGGGAAGCCAGAAGAGAATGTTGGATCCCTTGGAGTTGGAGTTACAGGCACTTTTGAGCCACTTGTGTGGGTGACGTGTGGAACCCAACTCCTCTGGAAAAGCAAGACGAGATCTTAATTGCTCCTTGTTGTATATTTTTAATGCTAACTTCAATTTTAAAATTACTTTGATATAACATATTTTTTCTTACATTGTTTTAAAATAAAGTAAATTTTACATTTGCACCCATCACAAAGAAAAATGGTCAAAGGTCCGAGGAAATGTTAGAGTCATTCTACTGTCTATGGGAGCAAAACTCTACCTTATGTAGTTAATGTGTACAATAAATTTATAAATAACAGAAGCCAACACATACTGGACACTTTACAAACAAGACCTGACACAACCCACAGAACAAACCTCTATCAGAGAGACAAAGTGCCTGACATGAAAGTGAAGACTCAAAGGTTAGACCACTTGCTCAAATTAAGTATCAGAACTGGAAATCAAGGTCATGTCTACTTCTAAATCCTATAATTTCAACTTCTGTTTTCTCTATCACATCAAGATTGCAGCTCAATATGTTACTTTATTTTCTCTCGTTTTTAAAAATTAGTGTTTCTCCACATGATATGAAAAGGGTATACCAGGGACAGAAAGGTTTAACTAGGGGAATTAGAAGAATAGAAGAAAGGTGGGAAGGATCAACCAAAACCAAAGATGCATGCAAAAACCACATGGAAATGCACCACTGTATTAAAAAAAAAAAAAAAAAAAAAACAATTTTTAAAAAAAGTTTGAATGGAAGTACCTTGTGTGAATTGACAATATTGCTCCCAGAAGCCATGGGTATTGATCAAAATCCCATTGCCATGTGCAAGATACTCCCCATGAGTCTCTGACCAGACAGCCCCAAGCTCCCAAAACAATATAGGCCATTGCTCTTGGTTATCCACCAGAACTAGATGGTAAATTCCTATTGCAAATGACACTACACACCCTGGACACAGGACAAAGAAGCTGGAAGTGAGCTGGAAGTCTCCTCCCTGCTACCTAGCTTCCAGAGAACTGAAAGGTACTAGGCAGGCTGCTGGGAGTGAGGAATTTTCAATTCTCTCCTGGTGGTGAACTCTGTGTGCTACAATTCTGACCTGACAAACCATATGTGCCCATTAGTACAGCAGTGGCAAGAATACTCTGGGTCAATCAACATACTACTCAACTGGTTGTGGCCCACTCCACAGGAGGAAAGACTGTCTGAGACTGTATACCCAGTCAAAACTCACGGCTAGAGAGGTCACAAGGCCTAGGGAAGAATGTATTGCTGCTATTTTGCTAATTGAACATGTAGTCCAACTGCTCCCCAAATCCCTACATTTGTACCTCAAAACTAGTGCCACTGCCAGCCTGGACCAGAGAAGCTCCTCCCTGAAGAGGGTGACAGTCAATGCTCAGCCCTAAATGAGACTTTCATACAACACACACACACACACACACACACACACACACACACACACACACACACACCAATACCCAGGGAACATCACAAAATGGGGGAGGGTGGGGACAGAAAGAATGCAGGAGCCTGAAGATGGAAAGAAACACTACAAAATGCTGTGTTCTAGATATAGGATGGCCATCAGAATCAAGACACAGCCTCTGTGGCTACCTGCATAAGCCCTAACAAGAGCCTGAAGTGCACAGTTCTCAGACGCTCTATCTCGGCTTTGGCTGGCACAGAGGAATGTAGCCCACCATGCAGGGAAGGCATGGCGGCAGGAGCAAACTGCATCCCTATTCTATGGCTTGTAACTGTCAAATTAATGACAGTGCCTGGTACCTTTTATCAAGATGTAATGTAAGGTGTCTTCAGAGACCACTCTCCTTGACTCCACCTCCTTCAGAAAGCCTCCCTCATCTTCGTACTGCCTCTGGATTTGTCCTGAGTGCTGCTGGTTCATTTCCTTTTGGACATTTTCTATGTGCTGGTTTAGGTAGTTTTTCTTAAGCAAGCCTTTCAGCTGGTACTGTGAAAAATCATTAGACTCCTGGGGACAAAATAAACAAAATTGTTGCTTTACACTAACACAGATAATACCACTGCTCACTAACCCATCCCCAAAAGGTATAGTTTCATAACATAAAAATAAAACTTGAAAACTAAGAGGGGAGGGGGTTCCAGTGCTAACTTCCTTTTTTGTTTTTTGTTTTTCTTTGTTGTTGTTGTTTGTCTTTGAGACAGTCTCTCAATAAGTAGCCCAAGCTAGCCTGGAACTCACTATATAGGACCAAGCTGGCCTTGAAATTGTGGAAATACTCCTGCCTCTGCCTCCCAAGTACTTTGATTAGCACATATGACATTTTAACAGCCTTAAAAAAATATCTTTGAAACAAAAAGAATTAAGCAAAAGAAATTATGAAGGATCTTTTTATTAATCATTCATTCAAAAATCATTTGCTGAGCTAGACTACATGGCTGTGGTATGACATGTGATGGTAATTCAGCAAAACACAACCTTGTAGATACAGGTGAAGTGCCTAGCACTGTCCTGAGTCCATATATGACATAGAATAAAGCAACCAGAGGTATTAATAATCATAATTAACAAGTACAAAGCCTTTCCCATTGAGGGTATTCTAAGCACTTTTATATAAACTACCTTGATTTATCCAATAAAACATTTTCCCATCTCCAGTCTGCAAATGATGGACTTGAGACTTCAACACCAGACTCACATGGGAGTCCTCAGACAGATGGCTTACACAACTGAGTCTATTACTAGTCTCACGATTATCCCTGCAACTAGGACATGGATCTTCTCTTATGAACACCATATGTGCACAATGGATAAGTCATACCAAAGATCACCCTGGACTACTTGGAACTTCTCTTCTCATGGAACCACCCCAGCCTTCCTAGCCTTCCAGCTCTAGTAACACCATAGTTGCAAAGAGAAAACCACTAGGGGCTGTCTCCTTTCCTTCTCACTCCACTCAAATCTTAATTCTACCACTCATACTCAAGAGATTCTTCACAACCCAATCCCCCAAAAAACATGCCTGAAAGATAAATGGAGCCTGGATTACTTTCCCTTTGAAATAAAAATTCTTTTTTTTTTTTGATCTTTAGAGACAGGGTTTCTCTGTATAAGGGCCTTGGCTGTCCTGGAACTCACTTTGTAGACCAGGCTGGCCTCAAACTCACTGAGATCCACCTGCCTCTGCCTCCCAAGTTCTGGGATTAAAGGCATGCACCACCACTGCCCAGCCCAATAAATTTATTTCTTGTACCCAAAAACCTAATAATATCACTTCTATATACCCTATTATTTTCTTATCTGCACTAACTACATAGAAAGTCAGAAATAAGCCAGGTGGCAGTGGCACACGCCTTTAATCCCAGCACTCAGGAGGCAGAGCCTGGTGGATCTCTGTGAGTTTGAGGCCAGCCTGGTCTACAGAGCAAGATCCAGGACAGGCACCAAAACTACACAGAGAAACCCTATCTCAAAAAAAAAAAAAAGAAAAGAAAAGAAAAGAAAAAAATCAAAAATAAAAAGATAAATCCATTTTTTAAAAAAAAAATCTTTCTGGTAACAAAGTAGAAAGTATTCTAAAGTCTACAGCAAGTTAAAAAAAAAAAACACATCAATTGCTATAAATTTACATTCCACCTCAGTGTTTGAGGAAAACTACTGGAAATAGCATGTGGTAGCAAAGGGAAGGAAAATGGAACTCACACATGAGGAACTAAAGACAGCAAGTGCTCGATGGGGGCATAAACTATGTAATCGTTATCAACATTATCAGGACAAAACAATACACAACCATGCACACCACACCTGCTTCAGCTTCCTGTGACTTCGAAGTCACCATACTCAGGCCACCCTATTCCCACATTCACAAAGGAGAGGAACACACATAATCCTGTATTTGGAATTTCACATCATAAGTATTTTCCATGTTACGGTTACTTTTTTAAGGCAATGTATGTTGTGGTTTAAAGTAACTTCTAAGAACTATGTCAAGAACCATAGCATGCTGGGCACTTACTATGTCAGACACTGAGGTACCTTTTGAGAGTGTAGCCATGATCAGAACAGGCATGTTCTGTGCTGAGAACTAGAATACCATGCTACAAGGTGCTGAGAATACACAGAAGAAAAGGCCTAGTCTTGGACAGAACGTCCAAAAGATTTCTTTGAATATATATGAGTTGTAATGAACAAATAAATAAACTATGCCTTATGGGATGTAACACATACAAATTCTGTGTCCTTGCAACTGAGCTACTGTCCAAAGTGGAGACTTAGACGCTAAGTACCATCCCTCTTTTTCCCCTTCTTTGAGCTTTGCTGAAGTTCAATTCTAGGCATTGGTGTGCTATTGTGCACTGCTGGCTGTTTTACCTCTGGCATTGCTTCAAACAGTGTTCGTCTTCGCTTGGTAAACTCCTTCATGTCAGTCAAGATCTCATGCTTTACTTCAAGTGGCAGGCTGCTGAAATCCTCAGACTCGATATCAATAGCATGAGGATTATGAAAGAATTCTTCCTGTGGGAAGTAAAATGTTAACAACATTAAGTTTATATTTACCCATATAGATCTATTCATTGTTACAAACATTCACTGTGTTTATATCATAAATACAGCTCTATATAATCTACACACAGAAGTATACATTTTGCAACAGGCATCACAGTGAACAAAAAGATAAGTCCCTTCATTTGTTCACTCACTCCAAAGCAAATCACTTACCAGGCACTATGTACTACCAAGGCCCTGCTCTAAGACTCTGGGTACTGTGGTGACTGTGTACATAAGTGCCCTAATCTTAGGAGTAGAGTAAGTCATGTAAGCAAGTAAATAAATAAGCAAGATAACTGTTAGAACATCCAACAGGCTGATCTGACACGAGTAATCAGGGAAACAAAAAGGGACAAAATCTTACATGGTAGATGGAGAAACCCTATCAAGACAGATGTCCTGGGCAGGGATTTTAAAAATACCAAGAACCTGATGAGAGTGGGAAGCCCAAACTGAGGAAAAACAAGTGTAAGGGTTCTGAAATGTGGATAAGAACCATTTTTATAGTCACATTAGATTTTTTTTTTAAGAAAATAATGTCTTAAAGAAATTAATTTGGGGGCTGGAGAGATGGCTCAGCAGTTAAGAGCACTGGCTGCTCTTCCAGAAGACCTGGGTTCAATTCCCAGCACCCACATGGCAGCTTAAGACTGTTTGTAACTCCAGTTCCAGGGGATCTGACATCCTCACATAGACATAGACACAGGCAAAACACCAGTTCACATAAGATAAAAATAAGTTTAAAAAAAAAACCAAAGATTAAAATAAAAGGAAATTAACTTGTTTACATCACACAGCCTGTGAACACTGAATCCTGACTGTAAGATTCTTAATTTTAACCACCACCACCTGATAATGTCTGATGCACAGATAATGCACAGCCTCAGGAAGATGAAAGAACCTGGAGTTTTAGCTTAAAAGTCTTCTATCAGACATATCAAAACAATAGACTTTGGGAGTCAAAGAATATTATCTAGTACCTTAATAAGCTTGAGAAAAATGTTCATTCAAAAAACTGTACAATGGGATCTTAGGAGATGGCTCAGTGATTAAGAGCAATAGCTGCTCTTCTAAAGTACCTAGGTTCGATTTCTAGCACCTCACATGACGGTTCACAAATATCTGTTGCAAGGAATCTGACACCCTCTTCTGACCTCCATAGACTCTGCATGAATCTGGTGCAGATATACATGCAGGAAAAACACCCATACACATTTAAAAAACAAAGAAGGAAAAAGTAAATAAATCTTTTTAAAAATCTTGTTAAGAAGCCAGGAGTAGTGCTTTATACTATAATTCCAACATTTGAGAGACTGAGGCAACTTCAATGTTTAAAGGCAGCCTCACTGACATGGTGATAGCTTTACCATGTGAGCAGAGTCTTTTACTCTCTTGTTGACATTCTTTCCTTATAGGCACTGCCCTGAAAACATGTAGCCAAGAATGTGGTGGAAAGGAAACTATACAACTTCCAAAGCAAGGCAGTATGGTTTCTGCCTAGGATCTCCCTTTGGATGCTTCCCCTTGGAACAGCCCCAGTGCTAGGGAATAGCACAGGCCACATGGAGGCTACAAGAAATTGTAGCCACTAGCCTCACTGAAGTCTAGCTAATAGCCAGAGTCAACCACCAGACAAGCAACCGAGGGAGCCCATGAAGTGACTTCAGTCCAAGCAACATTCTGACAGCATCTACATGGAAGACTCCAAGAGACAAGCACCTCTCTTTACTTATCAACCCCAAGAATCATGGCAGAGGATGATAAAAATGGCTACTTTTATACCACTGCTTTACATTGCAAAAGATAATTAAAATATCTGTATAGGAATGAATATACACAACTATATGCATACATATCCATCCTACTCAGGGGATGGTATAAAATATGCCAAAATTTGTTAAGTTTTTTATAAGCATAAAGACAGTCTGTTATTTTTGTATTTATTTGTAGCACTAGGGATTGAATCTAGGACCTTATGTACACAAAGCAAACACTCTATCACCAAGTTATATTCTTGGCCCCAAGAAAGTGTTCTTATATTCTACAGAAGCCTGTATTACTATTTACTTCTTGAGTGGCCAGTTGTTTCTAAAAGAAAACAGATTATTTTGGATACACAGAAATGCATAATGAAGCTGGACATGCTAGTTCACAATTTTTTTTAATCCTAGCATTCAGGAGGCAGAGGCAGGCAGAACTCTGTGAGTTCAAGACCACCCTGGTCTACAACAGTAAGGTCCAGGACAATTAGGACTACATAGAAAAACCCTGTCTCAAAACCTGCCCCCTGGGCAATGGTGACACATGCCTTTAATCCAGTACTCGGGAGGAAGAGCCAGGCAGATCTCTGGGAGTCTACAGATCAAGATCCAGGACAGGCTCCAAAGCTACACAGAGAAACACTGTCTCAGAAAAAAACAAAAACAAAAAACAAAAAACCTCCTCCCAAAAAAGGAAGATGGAAAGACGTACATAATGCCAAATCCAATATACAAGTGCGTGGATTTCACATCTACATATATACATAAACATATACATGTGCTTATATACACAGACATGCAATAAGAAACACACACAGTAAAAGGGGCAGCTATCTTTACTTCTTATTGGAAACTTTCACAAACCCATCCTACCGCATAAGGATTACTTATTTTCATCATTTCAAATAATGAAACACATTCTGAATTCCCATGTTATGTGAGTACCTGCAAAGCTTGCTTTTGATCCATTCTTGCTTGCCACTGCTTTTCATCTTCCTCTTCTGAACTGTAGCCAAGAAAATACTTTCAACATCTATGTTTTTTAACAAATACTTAAAATGCACTTCTTGAGCTCAAGGTCTGTAACAGTGAGTAGGATGGGAAGGCTACGACTCTAGATCTCACTGTCTGGTGAGGTACATATATAAGTAAGCAATTGACTAAGAACTCCTAACAACCTCCACAAGGAAAAGAAGGTTGCTAAAGGTTAAGGAGTAAGACACCTAAAAAACTTTGGACAGTACGGTGGTTTGAATAAGATTAACCCTCATAGGCTCATACCTTTGAACACTTGGTACCTAGCTGGTGAAACTATTTGGGAAGGATTAGGAGGTGTGGCCTTGTGGGAGGAAGCATGTCGCCTCAAATCCTCCCACCATCTCTAGCGCTCTCTACGCTGTCCACTTAGGGTTCCAGATGTGAGTTCTCAGATGTTCCTGCTGCCATGCCATGCTACTCTGCAACAACAGACTCTAACCCTCTGGAACCATATGCCCAATTAAACAGTTTCTTTTATCAGTTGCCTTGATCAGGATGTTTTATTACAGCAATAGAAAAGGAACTAATACAGACAGTCATGGAAGCTTTCCAGAATCTCCTACAATTACATTGGTGGATTTGCATACACACACACACACACACACACACACACACACACACAAACACACACGACTCAAATGCAGGATATAAGGGAAGTACAGGCCAGGAAATGTTCTAGGTACATGAAGTTCTACAGTCATCTGGAAACAAAGAAAGAAAAATCTGCCCATGACAGTGAAGAAACCAGGGGATGAGGTTGGAGAAGAGTGATTAAAAGGCTGAAAGTTTATCCTGAAGAAATGACGAACTAGGCCAGGTATGGTAATGTAGGCCTGGAATCCCAGCACTAATGAGGCTATAGCAGGAAGATTATAAGTTCAAGGTCAGTTTGAACTACAGAGCAAGTTCCAGGCCAGACTAAGATACATATTGAGAATCTGTCATTTTAAAAAAATACAGAAAAATATATTATGAGGTTTTGTAAAAAAGAAAATGACAATATCAGAACTTGGCTTTAAATAGGTTGTAGAGGACAAAGCAGACTGTGCTGGGAGTGGGTAGTTGAGGCAAAAGCATGAGACAAGGATGAGACAGAAGTAAGTCTCGTGCCACTGAGATTTCTGAGAGGAGGCGGTGATGCCAACAATGCACACAAAGAAATGGGATGCTGACAGTTAAAGGTTTAAGCATGCGCAGGAGTAGAGTAAGGGGAGAGGTCAGGACAGGTGTGAGATAACCAAAAGTATATACAAAAATTCATATGAAAACCCAGTACTTTGTAAGTTAGTTTAAATATATACTATTTTTTAAAAAGGAGTTTGAACACAGATATTCTGCATAGATATATACAGATCCTAGAAGATGGAGATATTAAATGAAACTCTCAGTGCCAGGTATGTGATAACTCCCTATAAATTATTGGTCAAGGAAGCCCCGACATTTCCTCAATGCTGAGATGACAGGCATTTGCTGCCAGTTGCCCAGCTTTTTATGTGGGTGTGACAGACAGAATTCGGGTTCTCATACCTGAGGGGCAAGCCCTTGACTAACTGAGCCACCGCCCCAGCCCCTGAAGTGGTGCTCCTTAATAGACAAACATTTACCTGTGCTTTTCTTCCTCTTGTAAAGGTGGCAAAACATAGATGTCATCCTTTCTCTGAACTTGAGTAAGACTGGGTAGAGCTTCATTTCTGAAAAGCACATATAGTTTTTAA